GATTACAATGTTTATTATAAGAATTAGATAATTTAAATTTTCCTTATTCAAAATGACAAATTTTAATCCCACAATTCTTAACTATAATCACAATAGATGAATCTTTATTGAATACAATTGCTTTACACCATCCATTTTATTAATTTGAATCATCAATTAATTTAAATTCAACTTATTTAAAAATCTTCAATTGTTATTCTAAATACTACTATTAATTCTCAACTTAAATCTCTTGCTTTTATATGGCCTTAATAAGTTCTTCTTCATTTTGTACTTCATCAGAGTTCATTACTCTTCTAAAAAATAAAGTAGTCTTTTTAAAAAATATAGACCGATGGAAAGTTCGGTGGGATATAAAATAATGATAATTTAGGAATTTAATTTAATAATGAAATTTCAATTAATTTATTTATATCCACTAGAAGGTAAAGTTAATTAATTTTAGGTTTTAAATCTATTCTTTTCTTATTTAGTGTAAATATAGAATATACTTTAGATTCTCCAATAATTTTTCATTAATGAATGAGTTAATTATGAAAAAAGACAAGAAACTCCAAGATTGCTTAGTGAGATCAGAAAGTATATAATCAGTCATACTCCTTATATTTAATTATATATATATTTAATCGATTATACTCATATCTTAAAAAAGCTCTCTGATAACTTAAATTAATTAATTCGCCTCCCTTCTATAGATGATACTTTAATACTTGCCTATCCTTCATAATTCTTACAATTCTTCTGAAATTTTTCTATTTATAAATGTCTTAAAAGTTTCAAAATTCAACTCCAATTTGTAGTTTAATTTTGAAAAATTCCATATGCTAATAAGTCAATGGTGCCGCTTTTTAAGATGAGATTCCATTCTTTTATTTACATCAGTTAATAGCTAGTGTGTTGAATTGCTTCTTTAAACAGTTTTTAACTAAATCAAGTTTGAAATCTAAGTCATCGGGACTATCTCACCCTCCATTATTGGATATTCAGAACTAATTTTAAGATCTTCATTTTTTATTCCAAACTCTTAACAAATCTTATATTTCTAAATCTTCTAATTAAATAAAGATTTTAGTATTCTAAAATCTCTATTTCTCATCAATTTCATCCATCCTATGCTTGATTATATTCCTTTCTTTATTTCTCTAATACCTGATATTATTTCCTTGATTTTAAGCTTTCCTTTTTTGCATTCCCAATTTACTTTACTCAAGATCTGCTTACTATTATTACTACTATTTCTCCATATTAATAAAGTTTATTCATCATTTCTTCATATAAACTAATATCTCATCTATAATTATATCTCAAATATTCCTTTCTTGTTTATAATAGCTAGTTCATTATATGAATAATAAATTTATTTTGTTTCTTAAGATATTCTATAATACAATTAATTTTTATTTCTTTATTTATAACATCAACTTTTTTTTTCTGTTAAATTCAGCAGAATTCGATATAAATTAAAGTTGTAGTGCTTTAAAATAAGCAACTAATTTGAATAATGATATACGGAGATGATTTAATTATTAAATATTATCTTATAGCTGATCTACTTTAGTCTTGACTGCACAATGATTACATAGTTTCAACCAAATATGTCTTTGTTTTCATTAACCTTCACGTTTTTAATAATCAAATGGTTAATTTTTCTATGCCTTAACCAAAACTCCATATTTTTACAAAAAAAACAATTTGACCATTTTACCTAGTTTTAAAGATTCTCTAGAAATTCAGGCTTACTTCTCTATCCTAATCCGTATGAGAATCAAAAACAAAATTATTCCACTATTATATTAGTGAGCAAATTAAAATGATTTCTTTTTTAATGATAATTCGTCTGCTAAACAGTGAAATGCTAGGAGGATAAAGTCTACAGATCATCCCCATATATTTCCATTTTTCAAAGAAACGTTAATTAGGAATTCTCTAAACAAACTTAGATTCCGAAATTCTTTTCCTAAACCAACCTAATTATTAGAATTTTTTGCTCTATACTAAATAATATTAAAATAATAATAAATCAATTTCATGGTTATTTTGATAATATTTCTAATGGATCCAAAAAGGCATAATCATTTTCTAAATCTATAGAATTAACTGGTTTAACAGTTAATCTATTTGATTCCTTACTATTTTAATGATCCACAAAATTATTAGACAATTTCCCTCCCATTTAATGACTCTATTGCAAAACTTAATTTCCAAATTATTATTAAATAATAAATTATAATCTCGATATTTCATATAAGATGTTATTCAATCTGCATTTTTCTTTGGCTCTTTTAATAAAAGATGTGTACTGATATTTAATATTTTAACTTTCAATATTATTTTATGAATTTTGCTTAATTTCAAATTATTTGAAATAGTTCAATTTGATTTTTTAAATTTCTGGATAATACATAGAGACTATTTCATAGAGTAATTGATTTTCTAATAACATTTTATTATAATATATTGCAAGATACTTCAACAAAAAGATTATTGATATAATCGATCCAACTTAAGCTAAAACTTAACCTATCTTTGGAACTGTAATATTTTCTACTACAGCAAAATTATCAATTCTAAATAAATAAGAACCTAGGCTCTTAAATTTATAAGTTTGTTTTGACATTTAACTAATTACCATAGAAATAAAAAAATTATCAACTTATTAATTAATTAACTCATAATTGTTTAAAAATTATATTGTTTATAACTATTAAACAATATTCCATTATCAAGAATAGTTTCTTGCTATTTAAGCATAATATTATTTTTTAATTTCTTCTAATTCTCCTGTAGAATATTTGAGTTGATTTAATTTTATAGTTAAGAATAAAAATCCATGAAATTTAGATAAATACTAATTTATTGTATTTTCATCAGCGCAATAACTTCCAGATACTGCAGTTAAATTCGATCAGCTCTCAAAAATAAGCAAATATTATGTCATTTCTAAACGACCATCAGTTCCTGTATAATTATTGTTTAAAACTATAGTACCATTATCTATTAATATTTTATATGGTTCATCTTCACTACTAAATAAAGATATTGGCTTATCATCGATTGACGTATTTACAACACGATATAAATTAGGAGTAATTATATTATCTTCTTTTCTGAAAGGATCAACATCTCCTAAAAAATCTTATAATTCCAATTCAATAACAAAGTTTTATAATTAAAATTCAGCATATGAGATTGTTTATTATTTTAAACTCACACTGGGAGGTATTTAATGATCCATCCATTATATAATTACATATAAAAATTATGTTAAACTAATGCTTCCAATTAATAGTGTAACTATTCCACCAAGTTTACTTTAATATAAAGAAACTTTAGCATCAGTTAAAAGACTTATTGGAACTCAAAAAATATCGAATTTATCAATAGTATTTAATATTTTGTTCATTTTAATTAAATAATATATATTTATATCATAACTAATCAGTTATATAATAAATTTTTATTTAAATTGATTGAATTTATTAATTTTTCTTGTCTTATTATTATTAAATTTGAATTAGATTTAAAAAATGAAGATTAATCTGAAAACAATAATTTTAGATATTCAATTTAATTAATGACCAAAGTTGTTTATTCAATTATTTAAAATCAAGAAGATATTATTTTTCATGAACATAATATTAGTTTTTTTCAAAAAATCAAGTATTCAACTTAAACTGTGTCACAAACAATTAATTCTTGTAATTTCTTCTTTATTAAGTTTCACATCAGCTAAAAGAAAGAATAGTTTTATGAATTATCTAATTTTTGTTGTTTATTGATTCAAATCATAATTTTGAAAATGAATAAAAATTATCTTATTTGAAATAGTATTATTTTAATATTAATTTAAGGAAATAGATCTTTATTAACACCTTGCAGTTTATATATTTTTAAAATACACTAAAACACTAAAAGCTATATTTAAAATTAATTAAATAAGAAGCAAAATTTATTAAACATGAGAATAATTTAATTCAATAATTCTTATATTATAGTATATTATAATTGATAGAGAGTCTAACCTTATAAAATATAAATCATTTAAATAAAGCTTTTTTGGGTTGAATATTTTGGAATTGCTTTTCGATTATAATGACAATTTATTATAAAGGAAAAACTATCATATAACAAAATAATTGATAGATTGAAATCAGAATTATGTAAATCTCTTCAATAAAATAAACTCTCTTTAAGAAGAAGATAAATTATGAATTAAAATTAATTACTAAATTTATTATATTAATTAAAAGATAGATTATTATCAATAGTATTATGATGTTTGTTTATATAGATTATCTATATAAATTTATTTAAATAATCTATTTCATAACTGTAATATATTTTATTAATAAATCTATCATTTATTTATATCATTCGATATCTTCAATAGCTCCTTTTTATGTGAATAGTTGATAAATTGACTATTTATTTTAGTTGATTTATGCTTTTTTTACTATGCATTTATTGGCTAATATTAAAGATTATCTGGTAAATGATTTATAACAAATCAATCGGAATTACTTATTTATATGATCTATTACTTAAACCTAACTATTTTCTTAATTTCCATCATTTTATTTGATATTTTAAGTCTTGTGAATTAAATCAATGGAATATTAAATTAAAGATCCATCATAAACTGCTGCTGAAAAATCAGTTCCATTAGGACTAAATGTAAAATCATAAATTTAATCATTTTAATTTTCTATAATTAAATTATTTTTAGAGTTATTCATTATAGTAGAAGATGGTGACAAATCCCATAGATAAATTGATCCCAAATAATTACCAGCTATTAATAGAGTTCCTAAAGGATTAATATCTAAAGAAACCATATAGAACTAT